ATAATTTCTAAGTATTTTTACTTTAATTGATCCAGGTGATATTTTTAAATAATTTTGAAGTATTTTTAACTTTAATTTATTCAGGTGATATTATTAACTAATTTCGAATTATTTTTAACTTTAATTGATTATTTTTGAGGTTTTCCATCAAATTCCTCTGACATATTATTTCATATATTTAAGGCATGAAAGTTGATAATTTCCAATGATAATTTTTCTTGAATTAATCCTTTCTTCACTTATATATAACGATATTTTTCAAATAATTTTTATTCAATATGCCAAACAATAAAAAAGGAAAAAATAGGTTACATAAAATGAAGAAATGTCTGTAGGAATAGCGCAAATGCAGAAAAAATTTATTACAAATAAGTTTTCACAAATGATGACTTGTAGCAAAAAATCAAATGAAAAAGAGTAAGTAGGTTTGCATAGAAATTCACGCGAACAAATATCTGCTTTTGAGAAAGACCAAGAAACTTTGTCAACCAACCTATCAATAAATAATGTTAACATGGAGCGGAGAAAATCAATCGAATCATTAACAAGCAACATGGATATAGGGTGCAGAAAATCAACTGAACGAGAGCCTGTAGACATGAAACTCGACAATAATTATTATGATGATACCTTCAGAGACTCTAAAAAAGATCATGGTTCAATTGCTACCAAAGTTTTGATAACCTCACGAGGACCTGTGTTATCGACAAACCTTATGAAAGAGGAATTTGACGTTACTATAGGTCTTTTTAATGCGAAAATTACCTTATTATACAAACTTTGTAAGTATATCAGTAATAAGCAATAAAAAAACAGTAAAGCCTTGAAAAGACTTGTTGCACTCGATGAACTTTCAGAAGAATTTTGGAATGTGAGTAATTTAATATATTCAATAGTACTATTTTAATCTTTAAGATATTTAAAAGATTACTATGATTTTATAGTACGCATACAGGAAAGTAGTTAAGAAATTATTACCAAATGTTTTATTTCCTTCTGTTAATGAATTTCGTAATGCATTAGAAGAATTTCTCTCTAAACATACTGCCCATTTTATTGAAAGTATTGGCAGAAACAGTTGGATTTCTATGTTCAAAGATAAGTTGTTACTAGAAGTAAGTTAAAATCCTAAAACTTTAAAGAACTTCAAAAAATTTGATATTATTTCTTATATTTTTACATTTTAGATTAAAAATAAATATCATAGCAAACGTAATGATATCGCAGCAAGTATCTGCCATACATTATTTATTAACTTTAGAGATAAGTTAGATTACGTAGATAATAACACATCAGCTGCCAAGATTGTCAAATGAAAATCGAGCGAAAAAATGAAGAATGCTTACAATGTGCTTTTTTATGATATTAAAATACTTACAGGAATAGGTTACATGGTATTTAAACA